GTCTTCCTCCTTCATCCTCGCAATCACTTCCTTTACTTTTCAAGTTTTCGTCCCTGACCGGCCTTCACAAGTGGAGGTAGGGGGTAGTAGAGGTAGGGGAGTGGAGGTAGGGGGGGTGGAGGTAGGGGGGGTGGAGGTAGGGGGGTAGAGGTGTAGCATACTGTCGTGGCAGGTTGTCAGGATCTCTTATTTGGCCTCACAGCGTACGTACAAAAAATATATCCAACACTCAGGATTGAGGTAGAAATAGAAAATCACAATGTGTTTCTCGTATATATATTGTTGCACAGCACAGTGTTAAAGAGATACTAAGTCGGGCGAAGCTTGCTCAGGGTTCCTGTAGGGCGAGGAGCTTTCTGAGGGAACGTGTGTATGGAGCTGTTGAGAGATATTGCTTGCTCGTGGCGGTAAGTAGAAAGAGATCGATGAAGGCCAGGTGAGGTCTTATATAACCGCGGTAGGCGTGGCTTGATGGTAGGCCCCCGCTTTGTTCGGCGTCGCTGGTTACCTGACCTTGACCACGAGGGATACGCCGGTAGATTCGCGGGGGGTCGGCCAGTCAGTGACACACGGCGTTTGTAGGGGAGGACTCCACTACAGAGGTAAGGGGAATAGAGGTAGGAGTGGGAAAATAAATATTATTAGAAAATTTGTCTCCTCTTAGAGAAAATCTTAACTGCTCAGAAAAAAACACTGGCGTATAAATCTTGGAACACGTGTGATATTTTTAGTGTTTAGGTAATAAAGTCTTCAGAGAAAATATTTTGTGCGTGTCTTCTGTGCATACTTGTACAAATGTTCCATTATGATTGACTTGCACATTGTATACATCTGCACAGTTTTCTGATGTATTGCTTTTTACACATAAAATTATTCATGGAAAGTGTGGATCAACAGTAATATTCATCTATCACAAGTTAATGTACAGTATAGTCACGGGAAAAAGTTGTGTTAGTCCTCTGTCCTATCCATGAAGCACGAGACTAATGAACCTGTGACTCCAGGATATCACACGGCCTAGTGCGCCATCCCTAGGCCTAAGATTGTCATGTCTCGGATTCACAGGTTAAGGAGTCTCAGGTAGGAGGACTGACAGGACTTTTTGCCATAATAGTACAGTCAATTACTTTTACTCCTGGGTGGTTGTTATGCATCTTAAGCTGAGCACAAACTCTCCTGCCGGCTTAATAGGGTTGGTTAAGCGTGAGTGTGGCTTCATTACCCTTATAATTGTTTTCTGAATTATTCGAATCATATTTCCAAACATATAATGACTTCAACTTCAAATGGAACAAATTCTACTTTCAAAAGTCAGCAAAAGTCGATATGCTATAACACTAATCTAGCCTAACGCTACCTGGAGGGGTTGGTTAGGTTAGGTTAGGTTAGCCTTAGCGTTAGGTTAGAGTATTTTCATAGGTCAGGCTAGGCTGTTTTGTTAGGTTAGGTTAAGTTAACATCATGGTGTTTAGAACACTAAGTTAAATATCCCTTTGGTGGTGGTTAATGTTCAGGTAATGCCAGCATTATATTACTGTACAGGTGTTGGCTTACCTGCTGGTGACGAGGTACACTGTGTGGGCTAATGAGCTGGGCTACCACACCTTTGGCCATCCAGTAACAGAGGTATGTCCAGGTGTATGTCTAGGTGTATGTCTAGGCATATGTCCAGGTGTATGTCTAGGTGTATGTCTAGGTGTATGTCTAGGTGTATGTCTAGGTGTATGTGGAGGTATATACCCAGGTGTATGTCTAGGTGTATATCCAGGTGTATGTCCAGGTGTATGTCTAGGTGTGTGTCCAGGTGTATGTCTAGGTGTATATCCAGGTGTATGTATAGGTGTATGTCCACGTGTATGTCTAGGTGTATGTGCAGGTGTATGTCCAGGTGTATGTCTAGGTGTATGTCTAGGTGTATATCCAGGTGTATGTCCAGGTGTATGTCTAGGTGTGTGTCCAGGTGTATGTGGAGGTGCATATCCAGGTGTATGTATAGGCGTATGTCCACGTGTATGTTCAGGGTGGGATGTTCAGGGTGTATGTCCAGGTGTATGTCCAGGTGTATGTCCACAGGTGTATGCTCCAGGGTGTGTATGTCTAGGTGTGTATGTCCAGGTGTATAACCAGGTGTGTATGTCTAGGTATATGTCCAGGCATATGTCCAGGTGTATGTCTAGGTGTATATCCAGGTGTATGTCTAGGGGTGTATGTCTAGGTGTATGTCCAGGTGTGTATGTCCAGGTGTATGTTCAGGTATATGTCTGGTGCATATGTCCAGGTGTATGTCCAGGCGTATGTCCAGGTGGGTATGTCCAGGTGTATGTCCAGTGTATGTCCAGGTGTATGTCTGGTGTGGTGTCGTGTGTGTATGTGGGAGGTATATATCCAGGTGTATGTCCAGGTGTATGTACAGGTGTGTGTCCAGGTGTATGTCCAGGTGTAAGTGAACAGGTGTATGTCCAGGTGTATGTCTAGGTGTATGTGGAGGTATATATCCAGGTGTATGTCCAGGTGTATGTCCAGGTGTATGTCTAGGTGTATGTGGAGGTATATATCCAGGTGTATGTCCAGGTGTATGTCTAGGTGTATGTGGAGGTATATGTCCAGGTGTATGTCTAGGTGTATGTCTAGGTGTATGTGGAGGTATATGTCCAGGTGTATGTCCAGGTGTATGTCTAGGTGTATGTGGAGGTATATGTCCAGGTGTATGTCTAGGTGTATGTCCAGTTATATGTCCAGGCGTATGTCCAGGTGTATGTGGAGGTACTTGTATATATCCAGGTGTATGTCTCAGTAATATGACCTGACAACATCTCTTGTTATAGTTCCTGACATTAATATATATATATATATATATATATATATATATATATATATATATATATATATATATATATATATATATATATATATATATATATATATATATATCACTCTCTCTCTCTCCCAGGTCGCCGTTAAGACCATGGCAGTGGGAGGCCTCACCAGGATCCAATGTGCTGGCGTGTGTACCGAGCTGCAGTGTTTGTTCTTCTCCTACCCAGGTAGTTTGTACTGTTTAGAGAGAGAGAGAGATCCAATAAGGCCCCAACGGCGGTATAGGTAGAAGAGGTGACCACCATGGGAACCCAACGACTACACCGGTGGATGAAGGCAATGCATGATGGACAGGCTACTAAGGCGAAACCCAACTAACTGAGCTATCGGCAGTCCATTGGAACTCAGCTCCTCCCCAGTCGTTGCAACACTTGCACCACCGGATCAGGAAAAGGGAGAGCCAAGATGTGTGGTTGCAGCCTGTACTCCGGCCTCACCATATAAGTCAACTCACGTACAGCCATCATCCAGTTCATCATACCTCTCATCATCATCAAACCCCTAGACCCCCAAGAGTCCTATGGTGATGGACGAGTGGCGACGGGGACAGGCAGAGAAGACTGCCGGGAGTCTCTAGTCACAACTCAGCACATGGGCGGCATGGATAAGATGGTCGTTTATGCACTGGGATCTTAGGCAGCAGTGCAATCTGGTCCTGTCTGTAAGACTGAGCAGCCTTTTACTGGAGCCACTCTGCTCACCCCACATGGGGAGGGGGCGAGAAAAGGTGCCCTAAACTTAGCCTGCCTAAAAACCCAACCTGACTGGGCAACCGCACCCAGTAAGGTCATCCTTGTAAAGTCGAAAACACAATCAAAATCACAGATCCAAACAAAAACAAACCATACAACCTCTTATAGACGCTATATGGAATGTCAAGACCCTTCTGGATACTGGCACAAAAGAGCGTCCTGAAAGAAGAACCGCCCTTGTGGCAAAAGAGCTGGCTAGGTATAACATCGACATAGCAGCCATTCGTGAGTCCCGAGTCCCAGACGAGGGCCATCTCACAGAACGAGGGTCTGGGTACACCTTCTTCTGGAACGGTAAGCCTGCTGCTGAGAGAAACCACATTTATGGAGTTGGCTTTGACATCCACCAACGTATCAAACACAGGCTAACTGAAATGCCTTTTCAGATCAACGAGCGCCTCATGACGCTTCGAATCCCACTTAATCACTCACGTCATGCCCTTTTCATCAGCACATACGCCCCAACACTGGATGCAGAGGATGACATCAAGAAGGCCTTTTATGCAGACCTCGCAGAGTGCTAACCTCTATCCCCAGAGAAAACAAGGTTGTGCTCCTTGATGACTTCAATGCCAGAGTTGGTAGAGATGCTAAAATTTGGCAGGAAACGAGAGGGAGAAATGAACTAAACAATTTTTTTTTTACAGGATTAGCCACCAGGCTGGTCACTTGTTACATCAGAGACTGAGGCAATAATAATATATATGTAAGTAGTAGTGGTAGTAGTAGTAGTAGTAGTAGTAGTAGTAGTAGTGAGCTACAGTCACTGAATGCGGCATGGATCTGCGGCTCAACTAATTTAACACAGATAGGATAGTTTCTTATGTATTAGGATATTTAATATGAAGGTAAATAAATGGTGGCGAAGGTGTGGCTATTGGGGGAGGCATGTTGCAGCAACTATTGCTGCTGGTTCCAGAAAATTTGACAAAAAAAGTAGCTATAGCGCAGGAGGTGGGCGCCTCGAACTGGTTAACTACGTTACCGATAAGGGCAAATGGTTTCAGCCTTAACAAACAAGAATTTACAGATGCCATTGCTCTAAGGTACGGTTGTTATTAGATGGTTTATACTCAATGCGATAATATTCTATGAGTAAGTCTGCATGGGTTGCCTGAAAGAGGCTTCATATGCTTGAGGGCATGACGAGGTAGGGATCTCCCCAGCAAATATGTTGAAGGAAATCTGCGGGGTTGAACCGACCCTCCTTCACTGGATAGCGGACTAAACGTAACGAAGCCCGTGTGGACGTCAGTGCTCGAGGATTCTGGACGAGGGGACAGCGAGCTTTCTTCGACATCAGGATTTTTGATCCCATGGCCGTTTGTCACCGTAACCTAGCTCTCGATGCTGCGCATAGGAGGAACGAGAACGACAAGAGAAGGGCATATGGAGAGAGAATTCAAAATGTTGATCAAGGCAGCTTCACTCCTCTAGTGTTCACAACCTCTGGTGGGATGGGCCCAAGTGCAAGATGTTTCTACGCCAGACTCGCGGAGCTGATCTCTGAACAGAAGCAGCAGCCCAGAAGTTATGTCACAGCCTGGATGAGATGTCGACTGTCCTTCTCTCTCCTTCGGTCGGCTTTGCTCTGCCTCAGGGGAACGAGAGCTTCTGCCCCTACTCCGACAACTGCTGCAGATATCGACTATGAGGCTACAGTCACTGAATGCCGCATGGATCTGCGGCTCAACTAATTTAACACAGATAGGATAGTTTCTTATGTATTAGGATATTTAATATTAAGGTAAATAAATGGTGGCGAAGGTGTGGCTATTGGGGGAGGCTGGAGGCCATTCTCTCTCTCGTAGTAGTAGTAGTAGTAGTAGTAGTAGTAGTAGTAGTAGTAGTAGTAGTAGTAGTAGTAGTAAGTAGGGGGTCCGGGCGGCGTGGGTGTGTTGGGGTGCCTTCCCTGATTTAAAGTGTTATTGGTGGGGATATACTCAGTTTGTGGGAGCGAGAATTTCACAGTGTGTCGATGAACGTTTGATGTCACCTTGAGCATCATCGCCGACGGCTCTTCTCATTCCTTACGACATTAAACGCAAATATTGCTCGTGTTCACCGGCGATCTTCAAGTAAGCCTGTGAGTGTTTGAATGGTGGGTGGCTGGAGTTGCCAAGTGTCAGTGCCAGTGTGTCGATAGGCCTACCCTAGCAAGGGTGGCATCGCGACTCTCGCCCCTATGGGGCCAAGTGCCTCAAGTAACGGTCACTCCATGTAGTGTCGGCTGACCCAGTGAGTATATATAACTAATGTTACATCAGCGAGACCATAGAAATGGTGGCTATCTCTACCAAAGTGACATAATCAAGTGTTAGGTGTGACAATTCTTGCTCCCAGTGGTTTATTCTCATGTGTGGATTATCGCCCACATGGGGGGTGCCCGACACAACCACACGCGCGCGTATGCCCTTACTACTCGGACACCGAAGGCCAGGCTGTCACCCCTGTGCCTCATACGCATAAGATCTAGTTCCTTCGTCCGTATGGGCCCAATAGCAGAGGTCGGAGGCGGAAATATCTGTCGCCCAAGGTGCTGGTCACTATGCCTGGCAACAGTCCTTGCTGCGTCTGTGCTAGCCCGAACCAAAACTGCACAAATTGGCTTTGTGCGAGAAACAATCGATCATGTGTGGATTGCAGGAAGCTAGACCAGTGTCGGAACCCACGTGGCAGGGAGCCGACACAGGCGGCCACAGTGGATATCGCCGGGACCCAACCACCCGATGATATCCGAAATGATAGCAGTGAGTCTACTCAACCCGAAAATGTAGTACTAATAAATGCTACTCCCTCAGTAGCAGGTGTCCACGAGGAGAATGAGAGACTGCCGCCTCAGTGGAAAGGCATGTCGATGGAAAATGCAGGCGTATGGGTCAAAGAAACCTACTCAGAAATTGTCAAGTGGTCGCCCGCTAACTTATTTGAACCACCCAAGTGTGCGGCCACCAAAGAAATGATTCGGGAGATGACTTTCTTCATGACTGATTACACTCAGGACCGCTTCCTCGCCCCCCTAGCTCTTCAAATACTGGCAATAATACCACATCTATTTTGTCAGAGGACACACACAAAGGCTAAGCACAAAGAAAATGTGGCAGCAATGAAGAGAAGATCGACAATGTGGCGGACTGGGGCCCTAGATGATCTCCTATGTGAAGCAAGAACACTGCAGGAGAGACTAAAATCTACGGGTGACGGAAAGCAAAACACCGATGACGTGGCAAGAAAATTTGGAAACAAAATGCGTGTGGGAAAAGTGTCTCTCGCGGTAAGATCTCTCACTCAGGAATCTTCCGGTGGGGTGATGCCAATAAACAGAGCGACTTTACAACTACTGAGAGAGAAACATCCCCCTGCAAGTGAAGATGAAGGCATCAGGCTCCAGGGTGCCTATATCCCACCAAATGTTGTCCTGTTCGAGAAAATAACAGGAGAGATGGTGTGGAAAAAGGCACTGAAGACTCGAGGAGGAGCCGGCCCTTCAGGTCTGGATGCAAACGGTTGGAGAGTCATCCTCAGCACTAACAAGTTTGGCCCTGTAGCAAGCGAACTCTGCACTGCCATTGCCACCCTTGCAAGAAAGCTTGCATCCTCTTGCTGCCATCACCTCCAGGCTCTGACGGCCTGCCGCCTTATTCCTCTGGAAAAGAATCCAGGATGTAGACCTATAGGGGTGGGGGAAGTGCTGAGGCGGATCATCGGAAAGTGTATAATGGAGGTGGTAAAGGATGATGTCAGGGCAGCAGCAGGGAACCTACAAGTGTGTGCTGGCCACCAGGCTGGTGGGGAGGCGGCCATTCACGCCATGAGATTGATATTTGAGCAGCGTGATTGTGAGGCCGTTCTTCTGGTGGATGCTTCAAACGCATTCAACATACTTAACCGCAAGGCTGCACTGCACAACATCAAGATCAAGTGTCCTAGCTTTGCGATGTATGTTGAAAATTCGTATAGGAATCCTTCAGACCTCTACATAGTAAACAACAAGGCTCTACGAGGTGATACCATCCTACAGTCGACCGAGGGAACAACACAGGGGGACCCCGTTGCAATGGCAATGTATGCAATAGGCCTATCAGTGCTCCAACAAGAAATAAAGTATGAAACAACTGGGGTCAAACAAGTGGCATATGCTGATGACCTCACAGGAGCAGGAAAAGTGGAGGACATCAAAAAGTGGTGGGACCTGGTAACATCGCGAGGTCCACAAATAGGGTACCACCCTAACGCCAGCAAATCCTTCCTCATCGTGAAGCCAGATCATTATGATCGGGCTGTGGAGGTTTTCGGCGAAAGTGAGGTCAAAATAACTAAGGACGCCAAAGACATCTAGGCGCAGTAATTGGCACTACGGACTTCAAGACCCAGTACGTAGGGGGAAAGGTGAATGAGTGGGTTAGCGAAATCCATGCTCTATCGGAGATTGCTAACACAGAGCCACATGCGGCCTTTGCAGCATTCACACATGGAGTCAAGCATCGTTGGAACTACCTGATGCGTACCATCCCTGAGATCCGACCCCTCCTCCACCCTTTGGAAGAAGCAATCAGTGTCAAGTTCATTCCCAAACTAGTGAAACACCACGACTTAACCCTAGAAGAAAGAACACTTCTTGCACTTCCACCAAGACTGGGAGGGATGGGACTAACTAATCCAGAGGAGATTGCTGACTCTGAACATCAAAATTCACTTAAGCTCACGGCAGCCCTCACTGACCACATAATAGCCCAGAATGCAACAGGGGAAGTGGACACCAGCGAAGTTAATAAGATCCGTAGGTCCATTACAACAGATCGGCAGCACTGCCAAAATGACATGTTGCAGCAACTATTGCTGCTGGTTCCAGAAAATTTGACAAAAAAAGTAGCTATAGCGCAGGAGGTGGGCGCCTCGAACTGGTTAACTACGTTACCGATAAGGGCAAATGGTTTCAGCCTTAACAAACAAGAATTTACAGATGCCATTGCTCTAAGGTACGGTTTGCCAGTAGATGGTTTGCCCTCCCAATGCGTGTGTGGCTATTCCTATGATGGTGATCACGCCATGGTTTGCAAGAAGGGGGGCTTCATATGCATGAGGCATGACGAGGTAAGGGATCTCACAGCAAATATGTTGAAGGAAATCTGCCGGGACGTCATGGTAGAACCGACCCTCCTTCCACTGGATGGCGAGATCCTCCAACACAGGACTTCAAACACATCTAACGAAGCCCGTGTGGACGTCAGTGCTCGAGGATTCTGGACGCGGGGACAGCGAGCTTTCTTCGACATCAGGATTTTTGATCCCATGGCCGTTTGTCACCGTAACCTAGCTCTCGATGCTGCGCATAGGAGGAACGAGAACGACAAGAGAAGGGCATATGGGGAGAGAATTCAAAATGTTGATCAAGGCAGCTTCACTCCTCTAGTGTTCACAACCTCTGGTGGGATGGGCCCAAGTGCAAGATGTTTCTACGCCAGACTCGCGGAGCTGATCTCCGAACAGAAGCAGCAGCCCAGAAGTTATGTCACAGCCTGGATGAGATGTCGACTGTCCTTCTCTCTCCTTCGGTCGGCTTTGCTCTGCCTCAGGGGAACGAGAGCTTCTGCCCCTACTCCGACAACTGCTGCAGATATCGACTATGAGGCTACAGTCACCGAATGCCGCATGGATCTGCGGCTCAACTAATTTAACACAGATAGGATAGTTTCTTATGTATTAGGATATTTAATATTAAGTTAAATAAATGGTGGCGAAGACTATTGGCTGTTAGGGAGGCTGAATACATAAAAAAAAAAAAAAAAAAGTAATAATGTGTGTGTGTGTGTGTGTGTGTGTGTGTGTGTGTGTGTGGTGATGGTGGTGAGAAAAGTCAGTTGAGACCCTGCAATTGTGTGTAATTGAGGCAGAAAGTCAGATCAGCAGCCTGAGACTTGGTCACAATTTTCGTGATGCCATATGGCAGCAGGGTCTACCATAGACAACACATTATGCTTCCAATATCTTCCCAGGCGGTAGTACCTCCCTGTTTGGTAGCTGCCTAATACCTACTACCTAATAAAATCTACTCCTCCTCAGCAAGTGTGCTGCGCACAACCTTACTATCACCAATATACCTTGTTTAGGCTGGTCGAAGAGTTCAAGTGTTCATGGCAACACCCACGATCCAGACACTGGCATCTCATTGACTACATCATTGTCAGAGAAAGAGATTGCCGAAATGTCCTCATCACCCGAGCCATACGTGGCTCAGACCACTGTGACACAGATTATCGACTGATCAGAGCCAAGCTCTCACTTCACGTCGCCCCAAAACGGCAAAGGGCAACAAACCTCCAGAATAGATTTTAACACTAAGCATCTGGAGGATCCAGCGGTAGCACATGCTTTCAGAGAGCAGCTCGAATATGGGCTCATAAACGACCCAACAGCAAACAACGGAAATCCCAGTGCCGAATGGGATACTCTCAACTCTGTTATGACAAAATCCTGCACAAAGACCCTCGGTCAGATCGAAAGAATACACCAGGACTGGTTTGATGCCAACGACCCGGCAATCAATATACTCATCAATGATAAACTTGCTGCCTTAACTGACTGGCAGAACAACCCTCAGTCTAGGACCAAAGCTGATACCTTCCACAAGAAGAACGACTGGTTTAAAAATAAAGCATGCGAAACACAAAAGTTTGCAGATCAGCACAAGATGTGCCTAATTATTTAATTCCACAATACATTTTATGGGCCAATTACTCATGGTGCAGCTCCCCTCTGCTCATCCGGCGGTAACTTCATAATTAAAGAGATGAAGTCATGCTGGAAAGAACACTACCATTTACTGCGCAACCGAAACACTGTTGTGGGTGTCCTGACTAACCAGCAGGTCCCTCAGCATCCAGAGCTGACCCACCTCAGCTGTCCTCCATCCCTGGATGAGGTAGTTACTGCCATCAAACAGATGAAAATAACAAAGCCTCAGAGCCCGATGGAATCCCAGCAGAGATGTATAAAGCAGGAGGACCTCTACTTACCAGCCGTCTCCACTGTCTCCTGGAGAATACATGGGCAAAGGAGGAAATCCCTCAAGCTCTTACAGACGCCTCCATCGTCAATATTTATAAGAACAAGGGAGACCGATCACACTGTGGCAACTATCACTGGATCTCGCTGCTGTCCGTAGTTGGCAAGATTTTTGCCAGAGTCCTCCTAAACAGACTGTTTCCTGTGGCGGAAAACTTCCTCCCAGAATCTCAACGTGGCCTTAGACCATCACGTGGCACCACTGACATGATCTTTGGTTTCCGCCAGATACAGTAAAAGTACAGAGAACAGCAGTCACCTGTACATGGCTTTCATCGACCTAACCAAGTCCTTCGACTTGGTCAACAGGGAAGCCCTCTGGTGGACCCTCAGCTGTTTTAGCTGCCCCCCAGAATACATCACCATTGAGAGGCAACTCCACGATGGCATGAATGGCAGTGTCCTGCACAATGGCACCCAGTCCAAGTTCTTCTCCATCCAAACGGGGGTAAAACAAGGGTGTGTACCGGCACCAACTCTCTTTTCCATTTTCTTTGCTACCTTCCCTTCTCGTGCCAGTGCCAATTTAGCCTGCGGGGTGGACATCGACTAACAGGTGAAGGTGGGTCTTTTCAACATAGGATGACTCCAGGCAAGAACAAAGGTGTAGGCAGCTTCCATTACTGAACTTCAGTATGCAGACGACCTCACTCTTGTTGCTCACACTGAACACAATCTACAGGAGATCCTGAACACATGCGCTGCAGATGCGTATGCACACTTCGGCCTTGAGGTGAATGTACGTAGACTCAGATTCTCTTTCAACTTGCCCCTGGTTCACACTCACCTCCACCATCCACCCATCTTAACGGTACTACCCTGTCTAATATTACCTACTTTCGGTATCTTGGCTCCCACCTGTCCACCACCGCGGACATCGATGAAGAGATTCAGCATCGGATCAGATGTGCATCTCAAGCCTTGGGCAGACTTCGTACCCGAGTCTTCAGTTGTAGGGAGCTGAAATTATCTATAAAGTTACACATATATCGAGCAGTGGTCCTCCACACCCTGCTATATGGCAGCGAGACATGGGTTACACATAGGAGGCAACTCAAGGCACTTGAAAAACTTTCACCAACGTAGTCTACGTTTCGTCCTTCGAGTTCGCTGGGAACATAAGAGAACAAATGTCAGCATCCATTATCCATGAACAACTACGTTGGACTGGCCATGTTACCCGCATGGAGGACAGTAGACTGCCAAAGCAGCTACTTTAGTCACCTAGCGAATAGTAAACGTAACTGCGGCGGGCAACCGAAAAGGTATAAGGATAGTTAAGATAAACCTTAAAAAGTCCCAAATCGACCCCCTCACCTGGGAGACGATTACTCCACACTGTAACGCAAGGAGGAGCACCACATGAGAAGGTGTCAATACTTTCGAGTTAGCCTGTTTGCAAATTGATGCAGACAAGTGTCAATGCCAGAAAGAAAGCTGACACCGCCCCTCCCACATTCGATGTAGCCCCCCATATGTGCAACATCTGTGAAAAACTCTGCCGGTCCCATATTGGCCTCTTTAGTCACCTTAAAACTCACCAATGAAGGTGACACCCCTAATAACTCATATCATTGTATCATAACTGGATGATCGTCATACTCGATTCCGAGTGACAGCAAAGTAGTAAGTAGTAGTGTGTGTGTGTGTGTGTGTGGGTGTGTGTGTGTGTGTGTGTGTGTGTGGGTGTGTGTGTGTGTGTGTGTGTGTGTGATCAAAATATAGACTAATGATTTAACTTGCCCAACAGATACGACCTGCCAACTACAAGGTTTGGACCAAGAAGATGCCACGAATGAGAGAACCTTTGAGACCTCGCCATTACAAGACCTCATGAATCCTACCACAACTACCACTACAGTTCTCCCCACAATTACAACTACCACAGTTCCTCCCACAATTACCACCACACCTACCATAACTACCACCGCAAACTCGTGCCTGATGTGCAACAAGCCCCTCTACGGACAGCTCGCCAGCGCTCCAGTTTCCAACGCAGTCGACGCTTCGGGACAGTCGAGATGTTACCTGGGCGAGTCTAGCACCGAGCACCCAAAACCCTGGTGGCTAATTGACCTGGGGGGAAAATACACCATCACATTAGTGGAGATGCTCACCTGGGAGGGAGGAGTGTCTGACTTCAAGAATGTGGAGGTCCGTGTAGGCGTTTCCTTAATGACTGACGGAGACTTCACCACTTACCTCTTGTTTGGGTTTTATGCTGGTCCGAATCTCACTGGAGAACCTGTGACCTTTACCAGTGGTCCAGGGGTCACGGGTCGTTATCTCAGTGTTCAGGCGGAGAGTAGCTACCTGGACCTGTGTGATATAAGGATTGAGGTTCAGTAACTTGTGTCACTGGTTGGATGACAGCCGTCTTAACCCGTGTAACGGTAACAACAGCCGTCTTAACCCGTGTAACGGTAACAACAGCCGTCTTAACCCGTGTAACGGTAACAACAGCCGTCTTAACCCGTGTAACGGTAACAACAGCCGTCTTAACCCGTGTAACGGTAACAACAGCCGTCTTAACCCGTGTAACGGTAACAACAGCCATGTTAACCCGTGTAATGGTAACAACAGCCGTCTTAACCCGTGTAACGGTAACAACAGCTGTCTTAATCCGTGTAACGGTAACAACAGCCGTCTTAACCCGTGTAACGGTAACAACAGCCGTCTTGACCCGTGTAACGGTAACAACAGCCGTCTTAACCCGTGTAACGGTAACAACAGCCGTCTTAACCCGTGTAACGGTAACAACAGCCGTCTTAACCCGTGTAACGGTAACAACAGCCGTCCTAACCAGTGTAACGGTAACAACAGCCATGTTAACCCGTGTAATGGTAACAACAGCCGTCTTAATCCGTGTAACGGTAACAACAGCAGTCTTAACCTGTGTAACGGTAACAACAGCCATCTTCACCCGTGTAACGGAAACAACAGCCGTCTTAACCTGTGTAACGGTAACAACAGGTGCAAAAATATTAAAGAACATAACTTTTTTGATATTTACTTCACTGGAAACGAATGTAAACATAGATCAGATTACTGTACTGGCAGACTAGCCCATTAGCTGATTAGCTGATGCTCACAACAAAACGTGTTTGTCTTAAACATTTTGATAATCAAAGTTTTGTTCGTTAACCGAATTGAAGATCCTTATGGGAGGTAATTCGTTAACCAAGGGACCACTGTATATTGGAAAATGTTGATAATTTTGATAGCCGGGATATATAAAAATCGTTATAAAAATTCACTATATATCCAGACCTACTGTATCTTACTTTAAAATAGATCATAAAGCGATTCATAACCCGGCGGTATTTCATCCATTATTTTCAGCACAGTCTCATCTGTGCTCCACCGTCTCTTTTGGATCCACTTTTTTTTGCATACTCCACAATTTGTTGTGGCATTGATGTCAGTGTTCATGCTGCTAAATAAACAATGATATCAGTGTTCATGCTGCTATATGAACACTGATGTCAGTGTTCATGCTGCTAAATGAACACTGATGTCAGTGTTCATGCTGCTAAATGAACACTGATGTCAGTGTTGTTACGAACCCCTCCACCCCGCACTACGAACCACGCCATCTATTGTCCTGATCTACCTACCCACCACCACGAGCAACGCCATCTAGGGACGAGACACGTGTATGACTCGTCTTAGTTACCACTCCGAGGTTTCCCTTCTCCATATCCTGGGTTGCGTCACCTCCTCAAAGTCTTCTTTGTCAGCTCCAATTCGAGGAGAGGCACTTGGCTCTGGGAAGTGACCACAGGATCATCTATCCTCTAAACCTACGTGCAGTGACTACCTACCGTCTTCTACAATACTCAGCCTTACTCGTCAGCCATCTCAGCTCCTCACTTAAGTACATGTATCTTGTATTACCTCCCCCACGTCCACTTGCTTCAAAATTGTTTATGTTGTATTAATATGTATATACTGTTAATGTTTAGGTTAAGTTTGGTTAAGGGTAATTTATAAGCTGAATATTTTGTTAAGGGATTTATAGTACTCTATTATATACAACGAAAACTCGCATCCTTTGTCTACCCTTTTATAGTCCGATTGTCTTTGTTTTTTTTTATTGTTGTTACCTGTTGGGATCTGGGTAGACGTATAACTATATTCTAAATCCCCAACTCGTAACAAATGGCGACCGTGACAGGACACGACCTTAAGTACCATATTCCTTCCTCCCTTGTTACTCGGTGTTAATTATTCCTCCCAGTCACTTCTGTTCACAATTGCTTTACGGTAGTTTAAAGTTTCCTACATATGTGTGTGCATATATTGGTATTATCGTATAGTAAGAGTGACAGACGTAGGATATTAGGTTCCAAGTGTCATAAGGCTTACCTGTTATTACACGTGGCAGTTGTGTAGTAAGTCTTATCGAGTGTTGGGAAGAATCCGGATCTGTTTAATGCCGTACCCTCACTCCAGAGTAGGTTGTTCCATAGTCACTAGTTTACGGTGAAGTGATATCTTGGGACGCCACGCTCTACCAGGACCCCATAATTATAAAGCCTCAATTATTGTTTTTCTCATTATCTCATTCAGGGTCAATCATACCATTTATCAGGGTTGTTAATCCGGATCTTTATATTAATGCCGTAATACGCCCTTCCTCTTTCAAGTATATCAGGGTTGTTAATCCGGATCTTTATATTAATGCCGTAATACGCCCTACCTCTTTCAAGTCTTTTATCCTTATCTAAGGATCTTCTCAAAAGAACAATAATCATAAGTGTAATTTCCCTAGGTATAACTTGGTTAGTTTCCGGGACTTTCTGGTTATCCACTGCCGTGATATTTTCTAGGGTTATCCACTTATCTTATCTTTTGACCATTAGTTAATTTATCCTATTTTTCTTAACAATGGCCACCTCAGGTTTTGATCTCCAGGATTTTTATTGAAAATCCTTCCGTAGCTAAATTACGTGTTAATATCCTGAAGAAAGAATGGAAAGAAATAGCCAACTATTACAATATCCCATTTTCACAGCAACTGACTAAGGAAATGTTAAAATCATGTGATTGAAGTGCTGGTTCAACATGAAGTTTTAAAAGAATCCGCTGTTGACATATTAACGCCCATGTCCAAGAAACTTCAACCACTATCCACCACCCCTCCTCACTCAGAAGTTGCTTCAGGTCTGGCTAGCCCTCAAGAAAAAACACAACGAATAGACGCCTTGGAACTAGAACGAGCTAGGTTCGAGTTCCAAATCAAAATGAAAGAACTCGAGTTGGAACAGGCCAAGTTGGAGCAGCAGGCCAAGTTGGAGCCTGAAGAAAGGTCGGAACAGGCCAAGTTGCAGCAGGAGGTTAGACTGAAAGAACTACAGGTAAGAGAGATAGAAGTCACCTTAACATCGGAGTTTAGATCAAAAGAAGTGGCATTAAGAGAGAAACTAGCTGCTTTTAACCCTGCTACTGCTTCTTCCCTTGTTCCCGGGTTTGATGAATCCGATATGGACAGGTCATTTAGGACTTTTGAGAAAATAGCCGGGAAGAATGAGTGGCCAAAGGACCAGTGGGTGTCAGTGTTAGTTCCTAAATTATATGGTAAGGCTCGTAGAGTTTATAACTGTTTAGACCAGACTGATGACTATGATAACGTAAAAAGAATATCTCACCTCTTATGCTATCACGCCAGATGGATACCGGCAGAGTTTCGTAAACTAACAAACCATTTTCCCACACCTTTGTTGAGTTTGCTCAAGCTTAGGTTTTTAAGTGGTTAGAGCTACAGAGACCTCCACATTTTCAGGATTTGTTAAATTTGGTAGTCCTGGAGGTGGAAAACAAGATACCATTTCACATCTTAGGAAGCATGTGTGGAGGGAGCGTGGAGAGAGGTTAATTTAGGGCGTGCTGCTGAGCTGGCTGATGCGTACGCTTTGTTGAATGGAGTCACTGGGCAGTAGAGAACGTGAGTACTTCCCGACATGTTAGGTCTCCTCTGTTATTAACCTTGGGAACGTGGTGAGTGGGTCGGTCCCACCTACTCCCCCCAGATATAGCCAAAACACTTGTTCTTACTGTAAAAAACCAGGCCATACGATCCAGTCTTGTAAACACCCAAAGTGTCGAACTTCTAAAAGTAGTTCCCTGGATCCCAAATTCAAACCAATAGCAACCACCAATGTGGAAAGGCCCCATCAGGATCTCTTCTCTTCATTCACCTATGAGGGAAAAATTTCAATCATAGAGGGGTCTCATTCTTTTCCTATTCGTATACTACGTGATACGGGCGCAGCACAATCTATCCTCCTGTTTAACGTCATTCCTGATATATCTACCGCATTTACTAATGAGTGTTCTAATTTCGGATCTCTCATCCCATTCTTCCTATCCTTTAGCTAAAGTGCACCTCCAATGTCCCTTGATTACTGGGGAAGTGCAAATAGCCATAAGGAAAGACCCAATGCCTGTGTGCGGCATTCATTTATTATTGGGTAATGACTTGGTAGGAGATCTAGTGGTTCCCAACATAAAGACAGTCGACTCTCCCTTACCTGTCAACTCCACCACTGACCTTGAAGAAACTATTCCTCACCTTTTCCCATCTTGTGCTGTCACCCGGTCACAGAGTGTGCGAAATGGGCCCTCTTCATCTAAAACCACCTCCAATATCTTCCTACCCACAGAAGATCTGTACAATAAGACTATTAGTAAGGATGAGCTCATTAAAGCCCAACAATCTGATCCATCTTTGAATAAACTTCATCATGCAGCAGTTGAGGGCAAAGATTTTAACACCCTTCCGTGTTTTTATTATCATGAAGGGGTTTTGATGAGGGCCTATAGGCCCCCTGAGCTTGCCCATCTAGACACGTGGTCTGAAATACATCAAGTGGTAATTCCCGCCTCAGTCAGACCAGCATTAATTGCTCTTGCCCATAATGGTATTTCAGGACATTTGGGAATCCTGAAAACATATAAAAAGCTCCTCCAACACTATTATTGGCCTGGACTTAGGAAGGATGTGTCAAAGTACCTAAAATCTTGTCATATTTGTCAAATGGTAGGAAAACCAAATGAAAGTATACCAGCAGCTCCCATTAAGCCCATCCCAGTATTTTCTACACCATTTGAAAAGATTGTTGTGGATTGTGTGGGCCCATTACCAAAGACTTAGAAGGGAAATCAATTCCTGCTCACAGTTATGGATACCAGTACACGTTATCCTGAGGCTTTTCCCCTTAAAAGCATCACATCAAAAAACGTAATCAAACATCTTTTGCACCTTTTCACTTCAGTGGGCATTCCTAAAGAGATCCAATCCGATCAGGGCACCAATTTTACGAGCAATCTTTTCAAACAGGTGATGA